TCAGGACCCTGCAATCACTACCTGAGTCAAGACCAAGAGTTGGATGCTTACCCAACGAGCCACCCAGGCACCCCAGAACAGGTGCCTAGTGAGTGATAACCTAGTGCCTACAACAGTGCCCACCCAGCTCACTCTCTTGTCCTTCCTCTGTTCCTCTTTTAAGGCCCCAGAATATTGATTTCAGTTTTCCTTGTCTCTCTCACTGAATTGTGAGAGCCAGCAGGGCATAGACTCGCTTCTGTTCACTACTATCTCCTTAGTACCTGCAACCATGCCTGGCTATGGTGAGCAATGGATAGAAGGATGGATAGAGGGATGGATGGATGGATGGACAGATGGATAGGTAGATGGGTGGGTGGGTGGGTGATAGACATGGGTGAAGGAGAAAGTGAATGATAGGAAAATTACATAACCAGCTTATGTGGTAGGTGGAAACATCTAGGCCCAGAGGGCAAACTCCCTCTGGAGGGCTCTGATAATATGGAAAATTAGCATTGGGAGCAGCCCGGGTGGCTCAGAGGTTTAGTACCGCCTTCAGCCCAGGGCGCGATCCTGGAGTCCCGGGATCGAGTCCCACATCGGGCTCCCTGCATGGAGCCTGCTTCTCCCTCTTACATGTCTCTGCCTCTCTCTCCCTCTCTCTGTGTCTCTCATGAATAAATAAATCAAATCTTAAAAAACAAAAAAAAAAGAAAATCAGCATTGGAAAAGCAAAGAATGTGGTTTGTAGAGCAAAAAAATCCTCTTTCTATTCAATAGTCTGGAAGGCTGGACCCCAAAATATTCAGTGACCTGAGTGGTGGGATGACGGCGATTTTTATCACCAGGCTTTTGCTCTTGGCTATTGAGGCCAGGTGTTAACCTGTGTAATTAAAAATATATATATGAAAGAAAACCAAGTTACACAGAATAGAGAACCAGTGGCCATGTGCAGAAGAGACCCTAGTGCTCCTCTTTGGTGCATCTTGCACACAGCCCTAAAAGGGGATTTGCCAGATCAGACATTGTAGATGGCATTTACCAGCTGCCCCAGCCCTACGAGTGTGGCATCCCTCCCTGGGGCCTCATCTTATCAGAGAATGCTACAGAGCATTCTCCAAGACAGTCCACGATTCATGAAACCTTCCTGCCTTGCCACCTACGAAAAAATGTATTCCTCATACATTTCTCAGTACAACTAAATGTAATTTCAGTTTTATGTCTTTATGAGAATTTTCCCAAGTAAGGGGGAAAAGAGATTTTATCAGACTACACTCCCCTATTTTTGGCTCAATGTGGCCACTGCGATGATAATTCCTGGTCTCTGTGTCTTAGGATGGAGGTCCTGGGAGGCTGGCGTCTGACTCCCAAATGTCTTGCATATTGAGGACACCATAAATATTTGCTGTATTGAATCAGCCCTCAAGAAGAATCTTTTTTTCTTTGTGTGAATAGTGTTATTAGATTTTCATATTACCTAATATCCTCTGTGGAGAAGGGCCCATTTCCCCACATATTAATTTGACATAATTGGACAACAAGTAACATGGTTCTGTCCAGTTTACAAGTAAGCCCCACCACCTGTTCATTGTCTGCTCAAAGAAAAGTGTGTGTGTGGGGGGCACCTGGGTGGCTGAGTGGTTCAGTATTTGCCTTTGGCCCAGGGCGTGATCCCAGGGTCCTGGAATCAAGTCCTGATCAGGTTCCCTGCAGGGAGCCTGCTTTTCCCTCTGCCTATGTGTCTGCCTCTCTCTCTCTGTCTCTCATGAATAAAATCTTTAAAAACAAAAATAAAGCAAAGTGAGAGAAACATGTCTATTTGCCTTATTATTTGTCTCCTGGATATCTAATCCTGAAAAAGCTGAATTATTGGGATTTTTCTCCCTCAGAGTTTTTAGATATAAATTAATAAGTATAATAAAATATCACCTATCCCAGCTCCTGTTACTTTAGAATTGGGTTTATTTTCTATATGGCCTGCATGAGTGATTTGCAAACACTATAGGTGTCCTCTGTCAGCATTTCGGGGTCAGAGGGATGCTTCGGGGAATGAAGCTGCTTTCAGAGCCTTGTCAGCACATGAGATTTGACAGTGGCAGAGCCAGGCCCCTGGCTGCATTTGTACAACGGGCCATTCACTGACCCCAAGGGGAGCCCAACTCTGACTTCCCTACAGGAAAGAAGCTACCAATTCAAATATACGTACTTTTAGTTTCAACTCAAGCTGAAGAATCAAAGACTTCTGGGTCCTTGGCCCTTCCTTGTGCCTACAGATAAATAATCTAATGAGCAAAGCAATTTCTTATGCCCAGCTGTAGAACACACTGCCTGTGGGCCCCTGGGTGGCTCAGTGGTTGAGTGTCTGCCTTTGGATCAGGGTGTTATCCCAGGGTCTTGGGATTGAGTCCCACATTGAGCTCCCCGCAGGGAGCTTGCTTCTCCCTCTGCCTATGTCTCTGCTGATCTCTGTGTCTCTCATTAATTTAAAAAAAAAAAAAAAGAACACACTGCCTGAGAGACCAAGGCCTGGAGAACTCACTGCTATGTGGCAAGTGCTGGAGCCTGGCAGATGAAAGGCCATAGTGTGCAAGGTGCCATGTTCTTTCTCCTGCCCAGTGTTGCCAGGAAGGTGTGCACCTGTAATCTCCTGCAGCATGAAGGAGAACATCAGAGACTGTCCGAGGGCCCCCACCTGGGGAAGTACCAATGAAGGCGAGAAATACATGGTTGACTCTGAGACACCTGCTCTCAACTTCAGCCCCAGCTGGACTCTCAGAACATCCTGGGGAGAAACACCTTCCCACAATCCGCCTTTCCTTTGTGAGTAGCCTAAACCTCACTGGGGTAATTCATCTATCTTGTTTCATGAATTTCGGTTCATTCAGATACCCATCAAGTGCTTCTTTGCCCAACACATGTGTCTTCTCCCTTTTTCTTCAGTAACAGAGTATCTCATACTCTCTGCAGCAGCCATATTAGCGTCTCAGATTCTGGGTCATGGGTACTGTCCTCCCTCAAGGCACAGGGCCTTTGCACAAGCTGTTTCCTTAGTCTAGAGTTCTTCCCTCAGACCTCCATCTTGGCTCAGGCATCCCTTTCTGAGACAAAGCCCTGCTTTGATTCACCCCTCATGCTCATCTAAGAGTACTCACAGCACCATGTGTCCTCCCGCATGGCACTTGTCACAGCTGCGCTGTGATGACTGACTAATGTTTCCCCCAAATGTTTATCGCTACCTGCCCTGAGCTGGGCATTGGTGTGTGATTTTTTTATTAGTGTTTGTTTCCCCCAAATCATAATAACTAGTAACAGTTGTTCCTAAGACTTGATCATCCCTACAGCCTGGCTCATGGAGTAGGGCTCCATAAATATTTGTTGAATGATTGAATTCTTGCAAATGTACCTAACCAATAGTTTTAATTCCCCACAGACAGTAAGAATTTGTATAACAAGACAAAATATAACAGGATCCATGGGCTACACTGACCACTGGTTCTGGTGGAGATCTAGATCTAGAACCGTTTTGTAGGAAAGAGCGAGCCGTGAGGCTGTACTACAAGTTGTTCAAATGGCTCCACACTTTATGGTGACAGATGAAAATGGTGATGAGAATGTGTGAGAAGCCAGGTGCTCATGACAGTGTAGATGGTTCTAGGAAAAGAAATTACTCTTGAACAGGAGTCAGAGATCTCACGCGGAACATGCACAGTGGTGTTTAGATTTTATGACTAGTAACCAAAGCACCATCCTTATTACTGACGTTCCTGCACAGAAACAATCTTACCATTCTGTTAGAAACCCCCCACCATTTGCCCCATAGGCACTATTTTCGATCACATGAAGTTTCTTAGGGATGTAACTATCATAGAACAGACCATCTCAGGTGAGAAGATGCAGGAGGCACAGAGACACAAACAACTCTACCGCTGAGAACAAAGCTTATCTCGTACAACCGTTAGGGGTTGGGCATAGTATGGGGACAGGAGGGCACACCATCCCTCCTTAGAGAAAGGCAGATGTGGCACGTTCAAGCCAGCCAGCTCAAATCCTCGAATTGGGTGCCACAGCCCCAGATGCTACCTGAACGTGTCCTGTTATATCGCCTTGGAGCTGGCTGTGGAGAAAGCACCAATCTGCGAACGTGTGCTTGGGTTGTCAAGGAGACCAGCAGTATGTGGGACACTGCACCCAGGGCTGGAAGTCAGACTTTCAGTCGGGCGATGTGGAGAGGGGAGACCCACTCCTCTAGGTAGGCCTCAAAGACAGATATCTACAAAGGTAGATTCATATGTCACAACAGATGAGAAAATTGGAAGGTGAGAAATTATTACCCTGGTTTTGGGTAGTAGTGGAGGGCGGGGGTGGCATTCACCTAGTCCCCCTTGAAGGACAATCATGCTACCCGCTTTGCAAAGGGCTAGAAGGTAGACTGTGTGGGGAGGCAGACAAGAGTGGTTTTCTTTTCATAGCCTGTTTCCATGGTGCCTGACAGCACTTGGCAATCTACAGCTGGGGAGTCTTGGGACAGCCAGGGAGCCCCAGGGCCTTATCTTACACAGGCCACCCTCCCAGGCCCATCCCTGTGGCCTGTTTGGGCCCCCAGAGTGATGGAGGCCATAGGTGAGCAGCCGGGGGCCCTCTCTCACTTCCCTGGGGAAAGGAGATGAGTGACATTGCAGACAAAGGGCAAAGCAGAGAGAGAGCAACCTAAGAGCCAACGTCTATGGCTTGGGCACACCCCCTCCCTGGCCCCTGCCCTTGGGGAAAGTTCTGTGAAGCATGAGCTTCCTGGGTTTCACTGAAGACCTGGCAGGCCTGTCTGCCCAGCAGACCCCTAACTAGGAACACATTCTTTCCCACCCCCCCTTAGCCTGGACTGTGAGCCCAGATCACCAGATAAGGGCCTCTTTGATTTCCAGTGTGTTTACACACGCCGTGGGCCCCACATCTTAGAAGGAACCAGCTGCATCCAGGCCGGTTAGGACGCTCCCAGGCAGGGCAAGGAGAGACGGACGCCTTACCTGTTCCTGGGAGTTCATCACCCGCAACTTCATCTGCTTCAGGTACGTGGAGGTGAGGGGCATGTTGTAATCGATGATCCCGGAGACCAGGGGAGAGGGAGGTTCATTTTCTGGCAGAAAGAACAAAAGGAGGCCATTTTCAGTCTGTGCCCTGGGCCCCCTGGCAGGCAACACAGCCTGTTGCCCACATGGAGAACACAGCCTGAGGAGAACGAAGATGGGCTGGACCTCACAAGCTGGCGGCTCACCATCCACATCTGGCTGGTGAGTGGTGAAAATGGGTTTGGGTTGGGTGCCAGTGGTTTTTTTTGTTTTGTTTTTTTGGTGCCAGTGTTTAGTAAGAGTTCAGATGTTAAAGATCAGGACTATCTGGCCTCTTTGAGAAATGGAAGTTCCAGTCACCCAGGGCTCACCTTCCCCACATGGCCAACCACCGCTGCAGCTTTGCAGCAGCCCCTTATTTCAGACAGGGTGTGAGCTCTCTGTTTTGCCATCGTCCCCATCATTTCCTATGCACATTTTCACTTGATCATGAGACCTGCTAGGCCCTCAGAGGCATGTATGTTTCCAATCCTGGTCTAAGCCAGCTTCCTGGGTACCCACGGGCTGCGACCACCTGACCCCATCTCCCACCCCCATAGTATCTCCCAAAAGCAAGGTCAGGCACCATATGGCTTGCGGGTCTAGGCCAGGCCTCCAGTACCTGCCTCCCAAATTCTCGTCCCTTCTTAATTATGTAGAGAGGAGGCCTGTTCCTCCCATTTATTGCTTTCTTGTCCTGAAGATCAAAGTAATGCATGTTCCTTTTCTAGAGCATTTGCTAAGTGTGGAGAGATGTAAAGAAGAAAAACCCCAATAAGTGCACCAAGCTGCTTGGCATATGCTTCTGTTGTTTTTTTCCCTGTGATTTCTCTTTGTTATGTACTTGATATTAAAATGCATACAGAAAATTATGTAGTCTACTTAAAAAAAGTTGGTTTTTTTTTTTGTTTTTTTTGCTTAACATCATCATCGTCATTTCTCCCACCGTCAAAAATCTTGGTTTTTTTGCAAACAGCATTTTTATACCTGTGTACTATTTTATCATAAGTTACTTAAGTCATTCACCTATGATTGGTTACTTAGGTCGTTTCCTATTGGGAGCTTCTATAAACAATACTACAGGGAACATCTTCATGTGTGAATATTGGTACGTATTTCTGACTGTATTTTTTTAAAGAATTTATTTATTTATTTATTTATTTATTTATTTATTTATTTATTTGTTTATAGTGTGCACATGCAAGCCAGGGGAGGGCAGAGGCAGAAGGAGAGAGAGAGAATCTCAAGCAGACTCCATGCTGAGTGCAGAGTCCAATGTGGGGCTCGGTCTCACAACCCCAAGATTATGACCTGAGCTGAGACCAAGAGTTGGACACTTAATCGACTGAGCCACCCAGGCACCCCTGATTGTGTCCTTTTTAGAATACCCCAAAAACCGGAATTCATGGGTCAAAGAGTAGGACTGTTCCGTGACACTTTTTTTTTAAGATTTTATTTATTTATTCATGAGAGACAGAGAGAGGAAAGAGAGGGAGAGAGAGAGAGAGAGAGAGAGAGAGAGAGAGAGAGGCAGAGACACAGAGGGAGAAGCAGGCTCCATGCAGGGAGCCCAATGTGGGACTCGATCCTGGGACTCCAGGATCACGCCCTGGGCAAAAGGCAGGCGCTCAACCCCTGAGCCACCCAGGGATCCCCCCACTTTTCTTTTTAGCGATTTATTTATTTATTCATGAGAGACACAGGGAGAGAGAGGCAGACACAGGCAGAGGGAGAAGCAGGCTCCATGCAGGCAGCCCGATATGGGACTCGATCCTGGATCTCCAGGATTGCGCCCTTGGCCGCAGGCAGGCACCAAACTGCTGAGCCACCCAGGCATCCCTGTTCCATGACTCTTAAAAATCTTTGGCGGGATCCCTGGGTGGCGCAGCGGTTTAGCGCCTGCCTTTGGCCCAGGGCGCGATCCTGGAGACCCGGGATCGAATCCCACGTCAGGCTCCCGGTGCATGGAGCCTGCCTCTCCCTCTGCCTATGTCTCTGCCTCTCTCTCTCTCTGACTATCATAAATAAATAAAAATTAAAAAAAAAAAATCTTTGGCTAAGCTGCCTTCTGCAGGGGCTGCCGCAGTGGATACCACCCAGCCTCTGTGTTCTGCATCTTAGGTGCCGCTCTGGGTGCTCAGGTGGACAGACTAAAATGGCACAGGAGTAAATCAAGGAAGATGGGGAGCATGACTGAAAGGGAGCCTGTCACCCCCCTCCCCAGTCTAGCTTCCTCTTCAGATGCCTCCTGCTATGACCAATCTCAAAGCCCTGGAGTCACCTGCTGGGACCTGTCACACTAAGTGGGGCCTCATTTGGCCAGTTAGTCACTTGACCCTGCTTTACCCTCTCCCTGGGGAATAGTTCTGGTTACGCATTCTCTAGCCTCCTCTTTCTGCCTCCAAAGCTCCCTTTGGTGCCTAGTTCTGTTCATGGGCTGGGATTTGAGCAATGTGAGGAGGAGGATTTCTGGACCGGAGCTATTTTGGACTGGCCAGAGCCTACCCTCCACCATCACCACTGTGCTGGAAAGACAAGCTAAAGGCCAAGTGGGTACTGGGGTCATAGTGGAGGAACTGGAGCCCAGGCCAGGAAGGTCCCTGCAACCTTGAAAACACCTGAGTGAAAGAAGCCAGACACAAAAGGGTAAATGCTATATGATTTCACTTAAATGGAATACCTAGAGTAGGCCCACAAATTGAGACAGAAGGTAGAACAGATGTTATTAGGGACTAGGGGTTGGGAAGGGGAAGTTATTGCCTCACGGGTACATGGTTTCTGTTTGGGGTGGTGAAAACGTTTTGGAAACACACAGTGGTGATGGTTGCCCAATGGTGTGACTATAATCAATGCCATTGAATGCACACTTAAAAAAATGATTGAAAAAACAAGCTCTATGTTATGAATATTTTACCAATAAAGGAAAAAACTCCCCTGTAAATAAGAGGGTGAAGCTACCCAAAGGGGCAAGGGAGTCTCTGCTTGATACAGAGAAAACAGCCCTACAGAAAATGGAGTCCATATAGACCGGTCTTGGGGACGACGGGTGTCCTTTGGAGGTGGCATACTTCTGGTGATCATACAGCTTGAATAATATTTCTTTTTCTAAAAAAAGATTTTATTTATTTATTCATGAGAGACACAGAGAGAGGCAGAGACAGAGGCAGAGGGAGAAGCAGGCTCCATACAGGGAGCCTGAGGTAGGCCTCGATCCCAGGACTCCAGGACCACACCCTGAGCCGAAGGGGGTGCTCAACGCTGAGCCACCCAGGGATCCCCTTGAATAACATTTCTTAACGAGTTGTATAAAAATGCAGAACTTTTTGCTTTTTAAAAAGCTGTGTTGTCACACTCAGACTTTTTTGCGTTCTTCAAGGAAGATTTTTTTCTTCAAAGAAGAACTAAATGTCACTACTATATCTCAGACACTGGCTTAAAATGGGCCGAAAAAAAAAATCATTTTCTAGAGGTTTCCTCTTGGTTCTGTGGCAGAGGGTTCTGATACAGGCTGCACATTGGCACCTTTGTTCGGGCACCTGGCGCTGTAAGGCAACTAAAATTGGTTTCAGCGTCCTTGGGTCCTCTTCTTGCCGCCTCAACCTCAGCCCAGACTTGACCTCCTGACCCCCGGGAGCATGCTGGGACCCGTGCCTCCCCACCCACACCAGCTCCACGGGGTTGGGAGCACTACGTGAGGTAGACATTTGAGCAACCACCCTGAGACACTCAGATGAGCCATGGTTCCTGTTTTCAGATCCTGGGTCTTCAGACAGAAAATTCTGCCATTTCTGTTTCATTTCCTCAAAGACATGGTTATCTGATGAAGAGTTGTGAGCAGGGCCACCCTCGTCCCCTAAGGATGGCTGGTCAGAGCAGCAAAGGAAGAGCTCATCCGGCGTCATGCCCATTCTCCATGTTCGGTCATCCAGCGAGGCCAGGCACTGTGTTCCTTTTACCGACGGACACCCCTGGCCTGCCTACAATACCATGACTGCTTATGAGAAGGCATTTTGGCTTGGGTGGGGGAGCAATGGCTAGGACAGTAGTCTGAGGAAGAGGGAGGAGGCTGCTCCCTCCCCAGCATGTCCACAGCTCAGAAATCACCTGTACGTGAAACGCCGGGACACCTGCACCCCGATGTTCATAGCAGCCATGTCCACAATAGCCAAACTGTGGAAGGAGCCTCGGGGTCCATCGAGAGATGAATGGATAAAGAAGCTGTGGTCTATGTATACAATGGAATATTCCTCAGCCATTAGAAACGATGAATTCCCACCATTTGCTTCGACATGGATGGAACTGGAGGGTATTATGCTGAGTGAAGTCAGTCGGAGAAGGACAAACATTATATGGTCTCATTCATTTGGGGAATATAAAAAATAGTGAAAGGGATTAAAGGGAAAAGGAGAGAAAGTGAGTGGGAAATATCAGAGAGGGAGACAGAACATGAGAGACTCCTAACTCTGGGAAACGAACAAGGGGTGGTGGAAAGGGAGGTGGGCGGGGGGACGGGGGGACTGGGTGACGGGCACTGAGGGGGGCACTTGACGGGATGAGCACTGGGTGTTATGCTATATGTTGGCAAATCAAACTCCAATTAAAAAAAATAATTTAAAAAAAAGTGCCCAGAAGCAAGCTGGGGGGGCTCAAGAGGAGGAGCCAGGACACCCTGTGCGCGCGCAGACACACAAATCCATCAGAGATCCAGGTGCAGCAAAATGCTAGCAACCTGTGCCTCCAGAGGTGCGAGTTTTGGTGGGGAGGCAGGACCATGGTGAGCAGGGGGCATTCTAGGTGAGGGAAGGTGCCAGGGAGTGGCTGTGGAACCAAGGCGAGGAGAGAGGCAGGCGGGGTTCTCAGCAGTCAGGAGGCCCACGGTTCTGGAGGTGATAAGTGGCTCACATCAGGAGATCGGTTCGGTAGGAAAGAGGTGAGGAGTAGGGGCCAAGCAGGAGCTCTGCAGAGTCATGTGCTTGCGGGCGAGACACATACCAGGACACGCAGAAGCTAAGGTGGACGCACAAATGGACCCCCGGGCTCTGTTGAGACAGGCCAACCTCTGCTGTGGTCAGCATAGAGAGGGACCACACTCGAGTCACTAAAAATAACCTGACACCCCTGGGGAGTGAGGAGTTTGCGAGGGTCACAGAACCACTATGATCCAGCAGGTTGCTGGTGACAGAGGCAGAGGGACCACTCAAAGAAATGTTTCAACACCCTTTGCCAAGGAAAACTGAGACCTGCCTAAACAGCTAGCCCTGGTTTTACCAGCCTTGAAAATAATCAGTGAGGGGCACCTGGGTGGTTCAGTCAGTTAAGCATCTGCCTTCGGCTCAGGTCATGATCCCAGGGTCCCGGGATCGAGTCCCATGTCTGGCTCCCTTCTCAAGGGGGAGCCTGCTTCTCCCTCTGCCTCTGCTCCTACCCCCCCCCCACTTGTGTGCAAACTCTTTTTCACACATACTCTTTCTCAAATAAATGAATAAAATCTTTAAAGAAAGAAAGGAAATAATCAGTGGTGATCAATAATCATCACAGGCCAAGCCAAATGATGACCTTCACAGTGGGGTTCCCACAGCATGCATCAATCGAGGCAAATTTCGGTGGAGGTAGTGGCCCTTGCTCCTCCCGATGGAGCACATGGGGGCATTTCTCCTGAGCTTTCACATACAGAATGGGAGAACTCAGCCCAGAGACCCCGTGGCCTCGGGTGCTGGTGGCAAGCCTCCCAGGCAGGGCTGGATGTTGAAGGATGTGTGCATCATGGGGGCCCAGAGCAGCCATGAGATCAGCCAGCCTGTGGTGGTGTTCAGATGTGGAAACAGAGACCTGAGGCCTGGGGCTGGCTCAGATGGTGATGGAAAGCCTCTTCCCCAGGGATGTGAATCAGTAGACCAGCCGAGTATTTAAGAAGCACTGATGTGTCTGCGTTCAGGGTGGGGAGAAGGTGTGGGACTCAGCGGGGTGGGACTGATGGTGAGTCCATTACAGCTCAGGGGAGGAAGGGCTCAGGGGGCTCTAGAGTAGCTCCCAATGGCTTTGTGCCGAGAGGATCCGAACAGCGTTCAATCATGTAGCTGACAGCTACTCAGCACCGGTTGGGAGTTCCACGCAGACCCTCTTGCTCCACGCGGTGGGTACTAGTATTAATACCCCCATTTTACAGATGAGACACCCTCCCCATGTCACACAGCAAGTGAGTATGAAAACTGGGTCAGGCGAGGCCAGCAACCAGGCCAGCACAGGAAAGATTCCTTTTCAGGGGCAGAGGAATCAGCTGGAATGGGGTCACATGGGGGGAAGACAGGAAGGAAGGATCTGGAGGGGCCAGGCACAGAGCAGGTTGGAACCACACAGAGGAGTCTGGGCCTGGTTGAGAAGAAAATACCACCTGAGTGGACGATTCTGTCTCCTTTGGTAGATAATGTGTTTGCCCACTACTAACTCCTGGTTTGCTGCCATACAAACAATATTTTGTCACACCAAAGGAAACTGGAAGGTGCCTCCCCAGAGGCCCCCTTCCCCGGCAGCTGGGGCTGGTTGAGGGCACAGCTGGTTCTCACTCTCTGTCCCCTCTATGCCTGGACTCACTCAGGGGTGGTGGAAAAGGAGCGTGGAGCCAGGAGGCCCTGGAACTTCCCATCCCTGGACTTCCTGATCCTCGGCAGCCTCCTTTGTTTGTGCTCCCGGCGCTGGGGGAGGGCACGGGACTGTCCAGGCCCCCACGCTCTGCCGGGGACAAACTGCTGGGCAGGGGAGGCTGCTTTGCTTCCTTTCTTTCTTTTTAACACGAGGCCAGGAAGCCAGGCACTTTCCCAACAGCCCCTTGAGAAGTCTCCATCCTGTTCCCTGTCCCCCTCCTGCCCCACCTTCCTGGGACAGGAACACAGGCCTGCTTCTGGGGCTTGGGGCAGGGTGGGGAAGGGGGAGAGCCAGCATGACAGGGGTGCCTATGAAGGAGCAAGCAGTATGGCCACGTCCAGAGAGACCAGCATGGAGGAGGAGGTCAGATCTGCAAGCTCTTAGCTGGGGTAAGAGAAGGGACACCCTGCCAGCTGGCGATGGGAGTCCAGGCAGCTAATGCCTCTGGTCATTAAGCAGACAGGGGAGCCTTTTAGACTCTCAGGCTCTCCACTAGCAGCTTCCAGAAAACAATCTCTTCCCTTTTGCCCAGCATCCAGATTGTATACCTGGGGTGCTGACCTAGGTGCGGTGACTGACCGGGTGTCTCCCTGTGGAGCCACCCAAACATTGGCACTCTTGTGTCTGGACACGGTGGTACAATGCCGTAGGGTCGAGGGAACAGGCTGAAGTTTCCCAGGTGCCTGCTGCATCAGGCGCCCTACAGAATGGCCTCCTTTAATTTAACTCCAAGAGACAGGCATCACACCCATTTTTGTGATGATAACATAAGTTCTCCTGCCTTCTGGTGGAGCTTGGACCACCGATTTCACCATGACACTCGTCTGTGCCCCATTTCCTCAGGCAAGCTAGGAGAGATACCTCATAGGATCGTAGAAGCTGGTATGAGCAGAGAGGTCCCCAACCTACCACAGGACACTCAGCCAGGTCCAGGCACCCCACCTAGGCCCACTGGATGCCCCCCACACCCCCGCCTTTACTTTTCCATAGGCCACACTGTCTCCTACTCCCTCAGTGTCTCCTCCTCTCCTTGTGTGGGAAGCTGCTCTCCTGTGGACAGAGAAGTAGCATTCTGAAGGACGGATACCACGCAGCTGCCTGTTCTCTGTCCTGTCTGAAGCAAACCCCTGGAAAGAGAGTCTCTAGCACAGAACCCACAGAGCTGGTTTATATTCTAGGCGGCTCCCTGCTGGCATGAGTGCTCACATTCTCTCTCTCTCTCTCTCTCTCTCTCTTCCCCTCTCCTTCTCCACCTCCCTCCCATCCTCCTCCTCCCTGGGGGTGGGGGCATAGTGGTGGCAGCCTGGAGAAGAAACAGGCTGCTGCTGTGCTCAGCATCGCCCTCCTGGACATGCCAAAGCCCACAGATGAGGAGGAGTGGAGCTGCAGCCTCCAGACGGATACCTTGCAGCCTTCACTGAGGAGTGGGGGAGGTGAGGAATGTCCTCCATACCAGCAGAAAGCAAGGGAGCAGAAGACAGGGAGCCTGCGGACACCCCAGAGCAGCCCACAAATGCGGCCCCTCTTGGCCTTGCCTGTTCCTCTAGGCTAGAGCTTCAGTGTCTGACTCTGCCAGTTGCTATGGAAACAATTAGGACAGAACAGGAAGGGACAGGCAACTACCAGCAGGGCACACGCCCCTGGGACCCAGACCCTGACAGGGTGGAGGTGCAGCAGGGAAAGCCCTCCTGGCCTATTTGCAGGCACCAGGGTTGCAGCCACATGGCCAGGGCCAGGCCAACTGGGGTAGGGGCCTTGGAGACATCGAGATTATGATAACTGTAACAACCCCAGCTCACTCCTCCAGCCAGCGAGCCCCATGCCAAGTACAGGAATTAACTCTTAAGCTTCACCGGCCCTTTGAGGTAGGTACCATGATTAATTCCACTCCACAGATGAGGGGGCTGAGGCTCAGAGAGATGAAATCACTTGTTCAGGACCCACAGCTGCTGAGTGGCAGAGCTGTGGTTCGAACCCACCCAGCGTGGTCTTGGGGGGTTCTGCTCTTAAAACAGGACCTCAGCATTTATGAAGTATGAGACACACGTTCCTGCCCCACATGCTTTAGAAGATACCCACTGTACCAGACAAAGCAGCTGTAGCCTAAGGACCCCATGGACAGGAAGGCTTCTGGATCTGGTGAGTCAGCTGGCGTCAGAGTCACCCACGTGCATCAGAGACCACCAAAATGAGAGAAAAAACAAACAAACCCCACTCGACACCTATGCTCCAATGTCTTTGTCGTCATCTCCCTGAGCTTTGTTGTTGATTTTTCCTTCTCCAGAAATGGTGGATGCCACTTGGGTAGCACCCAAGTGCCCAGCTTGCCCTTCATTCTGAGTCTGTTCCCATCCTCAGGCAAAACACCCACCAACTTAGCAACCCTTACAGGCTTGATGCCCAGGAGCAGCCTAAGAGCCCTGACAAATTGCCCACCTGGGCACCATGACTCACGGCAGAGCTATAACCCTACCAGCAGAATGTATTGGCCCACCTGGCTGTGCCAAAGCCACCTGCAAAGAGATGGGCCCCAGACTTACCAGAGGCCTCTGGGGGTGCTCAGGGGGAGGTAGTGAGGAGACTGAGGTGGGGGTCCTTGCTGTATCTCAGTGGGCAGGGCAGAACAGGAGAGCAGGGACCTTGGTCCAAGGGACCAAGTTTGGCTGGTGGCAAGTGCCCTGGGCATTTGAATTCTAAGTAATCTCCCCAGATTTCCCGGATGTGTGTAGGGAAGGAACACTCAGGGAGGACCTACTGCTGGCAGGGGTGGGACTACAGGATAAAAAGGTGCACGTGGTAGGAGGTGTGCTCCTGTCTTCAGAGAGCTCACAGAAAGGGCAGTGAGACCAGACCCATGAAGACACTGCTCTCAGGGTGAGGCCTGGGAGGCAAGAATCAAGGAGCTTAGGCAACAGGGAGAGGTGATCATTTCCATCAGGAACATTGGTGGGAGAAGAGGGTCTTGAAAGACAGTAGGAATGCACTATCAGTTTTTTGATGGAATTTGACTTTTTTTTTTAAGTTAAAGAAAACAACAACAAAAATGAGGTGCTTTGGGCAATGGACCCACACTGGCCACTGGGAATTGTGACAACCGCTGGCCATGCACTTTTCTTTCTGCGGCAGCAAAGGGCAGACCCTGCTGGTGGGAGCCCCACCCCCAGCCTCCCCCAAGCCACCAGCACACTCGCCCCCTCCCCTACCTTTGGGCTCTAGGCCATTGGAGTTAAAGTGCATCCTCTTCTGACACTCTGTGCAGCTCATCAGGAACCGGGTCACGGCCTCTCGTGGAAGGAAGGCATAGGTCTCCGCAATCTGGGGACAGAGGAGCTTTGCTCATTATATGGGCGAGGGCGAGGCCACCTGGTCACCAAGCCGCCAAGGTTTGTGCTTTGGTGGCATGTGCTTGGCCCTTGCAGGAAGGGAAAGGATTTGAGGAGCAAAGGGCAGGTGTCCTCAATTCTTAGCCACAGAAATGAGTCAGTACTCTTATGGAAAACCATTTGTTTTAAAAGTTTGAATAAAAGAATTAGAAATTGAGAAGGCAAAAGCATTTAAAGATTATCTAACCTATGTTTTAACAAGTAATAGTCCTCTCAGAGTATTTTATTGTTGCTCCTGAAAAAAGAAAGAGTTTCTAAACATTGCTCTAGGGGAGGATGAAACAATTTCCACTCTTAAGAGATTGTGGATAAACTGAGACCCACCAAATCTACTGGCCCTGCGCCTACGAATAGAACCCAAGGTTCTACAAGCTCTTCCTGCAATAACTCGCAGATCAAAAACATTTTAGGGAGAGCTGTGAATGTCTGATTCCAAGGGATTAGATTTTTCAAACTGGACACTCTGTTAAGAACCAGCACAATTCCAGGTGAGGTCACAAGGCCCAGAGAAGTAGACCTACTTGCCCAAGGTCACACAGCTTGTTAGAGGTGGTGGCAGACCAAAGCCCATGCTCCAGGTCACACCACTCCATAACTGCCTCCAGGGGGCCTCTCCTAGCCAAGGAGGTGGGAAGGGAGGTGAAGTAAATGGGAAGGAATACAAGAAACAGGCTGGGCAGGGCAGTGGGGAAGGAGGAGGAGTGGGCCCAGAAGCCCAGCCATCTCTTCTTGCTCTGGGTTTCAGGAAATGATCTGGCCCTGGTTTAGCGAACTCTCAGGCTCAGGTTCCCCTGCTGAGGCTGGTAGCTGCCCAGTGGCTGGTTTTCGCACATTTCCCAGAGCCTGGGCCCTCCCGCTCCTCTCCACTAAGGGGCAGCATCAGCCCAGCATTCCATCATGCTCGCCGCAGCCCAGCCGGGGAAAGTTGGCCGAGGGCTCTGGTCCGCCCAGAGGGAGGGGACAGCACCAGGTCTGCTCCTTCAGGATGCACGAGTGTCCTGTCCGCTCTTTGTGGTGGCCAGGAGGTGGAGTAGGGTAGGGCAGGGCGGATGGGCTTGGGGAGGGTGAGTGGCGTCTTAGGGCTGTGGCCAAGCCCTCAGAGGACCAGCTCAGGCTGTGCCCTCAGCTCAGCTGGTCTGTGGAGCTCGGGGGGCTGCTCCTGCTTGGTGGCCGGCTGCAAAGGTAGAGTTAATTTTGGTGACACAATTGTTATTTCTCAGCTGATTTGATGCTCTGCGGAGCAGGCAGGCTCCTTGATGAGTTATCTCCCTTCCAAATTCCCTGTCTGATTGCCTTCCTCTGGAGGTCAGGGACAAGGGCAAACCCCTGCTCTCTGATTGGAGCTGGTGGATGAGAGGGCATGCGGCCCGTCCTCCTGGGGCCTTAGGGCTCCAGGATGGGGGCTTTCCTGCCACATATACGGACATCTTCATTCCCAGCCCAGCCTGCCTGGAAATCTTAGGGGTGGCATGTCCCTCTCAGGCCTTCAGGATTAAGAGGACTGGGCTCCACTGAAAGACAGATGGCACGTGTAAACAGGCAAGTGGGAAGGGTGCCTGCTGGGCAAAGAGCCGGGCTGTGGCAGAGTTGGGCAAACAGATGACCTCTGAGGCACTGCAAGGTGTGACATCGTAGGTCAGACGTATAAGAGATGAGTTGAGGACCTGGGGGAGGAGTGTCATGGTCTGCTGGGAAAAGGAAAGTTGATACCATAGGAACAGCCCTCCTTCACGATATGGAGCTCACCTGCCATTGGGCAGAGAAATAATTTTTACAGCACTTAAGGAGAGCATTCCTGGCCTCGCTGCTTCGCTGCTCTGACATGCTTGCAGCACGGGCAAAAGCCCTACTTGCCACCTGACCCACTGAGGGTACAGCTACAATTCGCAGAGTTGTGGCCACAGCTCTCCTGGCCTCAGTTGGGATCCTAGCAGTATGCAAAGCTGGCTGGCCTGACACAGGGCAAGGGACTGCTGGGCGCACACCTTCTGGCCCTGGGTCCCCACATAGGGGCGGCAGGGGGCAGGGGGGAGGGTGGACTCAAGAAGTATAGGTTCCCTCCCTGGAGGAAAGCCTTGCCCTGTGTGCAGCCTCAGTAAGAGCTCCAGGCAGGGGGAGGGGGGATGTCAGTGAAGTGCAGAGTCCAGCCCAGCTCCATGCTGCTAAAGAGGCCTTCACGGAGGAAGGAGCATTGTGTGGCCTTCAGTCTTCTTTGGGCATCTTTTGGTTGTCCAAATGAGAAATGGATCTCTGTTTCTGTCCAACTACATTGATGCCCAAGGCCACAGGACCTGGGGATGAGCTGAAAGGAGGACAATCCTCGTTTATGCTCTAGTCAATAAGATGGTGGTTTTCAGATAGTTTCGGAGCTCCAGACACAGTTCTGGAAATAGTTTCTCGTGCTGAAGCCCAAAATGTGAAACAGATAAAGATAGAGCTGCTGTGTTTAAGGAGGGGAAGCCCCAGGACCCCTGCTTGCAGCTAGCTTCCCTTAGAGGCCTGCTGCCTTGCACTTGGGGTCTCCAGCCCGGACACTGCAACCTTTCACTTTTTTTTTAGTGGTAAAATGAAGGGAGACTTCACGGCAGGGAGAGCAAAAGCTATTTGCAGAATTGTTGACTTGTAAGGCCCCATTTTTGCTCCCCAGCTCAGGGGCCGACAAGGACAGATGAGGCCAATTGGGGGGATTTGCACCACTTTACAAGATCCTCCTGCTGCCCTGCGGTGGATTAGCACGTGGTGGGCCTGGAACAGCTGCTGACCACATCTGGCCCCAACTCCAAAATGGTCTGGGCAACCAGATCCAGACTCTGTAGCTCGATCTAGCCTACCAACACCCTGGGAAAGGAAGCAAACAGTTTGCTCCAACCCAAATGGGTACAGACTCCAGAAAAGGCCCTTGAAAAAGGACCAGTCCTCTGTGTGGGATCAGGGAACTCTGTAGAACCACTTGGAACCCTCCCCTGATCCTGGAGCATGGGCAAGTCCCCCTACGGGTCCTCTGGGTCCTCTGGTCACAGTGCATCTCAGTAAGGCAGGGACTTCCTGCCCCAAATGGGAATCCCCTGCATAATCCATTGTAAATGGCCTTCTATCCCTGAATTGTATATACCTTCAGTTTCAGAAAGCTCATTACCTGTTCTCTCTGATATATTGCTGGACTGTGGTGGGTGCTAGAAACTTCTTTTTCCCCACAGAAGAATGTGCTTGCTTTAATGTCCTTGAACAAGTCTGCCTATTGCCCTTCCAGGCCCCTGCTTCCTGTAGACACTACAGACCTGTAAGAATCTGGAAGGTTCCAGGTGCCCTACAGATGGGCAAGGCAGTCCCAGGATTCAGGTCTGGTAAAACACACAGAGACAGGTCCCAAAACCCTCAGCCAGGGGCCCGATGCAAATGCCACGAGGCCAGGCTGTGCCTCCTTGCAGCCCTCAGCACTGAGTTTTCTTGGGGGCTCTTTCCCAGACATGGATAAGACTGAAGAGCAAGGCTTGGGCTGAGGAAAATGGGAGCAGATGAAAAGAAGGGGGACAAAAGCATCCAGGCACCACCCCCACCCCCAAAAAAGGAAAAGGGTGGCAAGAGAAGGGTGACAGATGGGGAAGGGGGGGGAGGGAGCGGAGGCACACTGGGGAGGAGGGAGGTGCAGCAGCCCCCTTGGCCTTCACACCCACTACAGGAGGGCCCTGGCCTGCTCCACTCAGCCTTGGCCCTGCTGCTGAAATTCCAGCTCTGTGTGCCGCCCAGCTGGCCCACTGCCAGTCATGTGCCAGCTCCAGGCTGGGCAGCGGGAAGTGGGGCACGCGGCGGGCATATGGACGAGAAGCCAGGAAGTGCAGAGCAAAGGGCTGCATGTCCGCTTGGCCCAGGGACACAGAAGCTGGCCCAGGGACACAGAGGCTGGCGGGACCAGCCCAGCCCTGCCCTCCCGACAGCACGGAGGCTGCAACCTGGCCTTCATAAATATGCAACAAGGGGGCAACTGGGTGGCTCAGCAACAAGGGGGCAACTGGGTGGCTCAGTCAGTTGGTTAAGCCTCTGACTCTTGGCTCAGGTCATGATCTCGGGGTTGTGAGACTGAGCCTCGCATCAGGGCGGGAAGTCGCTTGAGATGCTCTCCCTCTGCCCCTCTCCCCCGTTCATTTTCTCTCTCTCTCAAATAAATAAATAAATAAATAAATAAATAAACAAACAAATAAATAAATCTTAAATAAATACCTAGGGAATGCCTGTGGTGTGAGGCTTGGTGCTGGACGTGAAGGGGACCCAGGAAGTCACGTGGTCTGGCAGGCCCAAGCCCATTTACCTTGACCACAGCAAGTCATCGGGCTTACTAGCTGACCACAGGGGGTTTGTAGAAAGGCAGGATGTGTAGTGGTCAGGGCACAGGCTCTGGGGGCCAGCGGCCTGGCTCTGAACATCAGTGGGGTGGCCTCCATGCAGGTTATGTTTCCCTCAGAGCCTCATTTTCCTAATTGGTAAAATGGAGATAAAAGTAGGACCTGCTTCATATATACACCCTCACACACGGGAAGGCTCAGAGAGCTGGTGCCCGGGAAGTACTTTGAGCGCAGAGCCTGGCACATGTGAGTTGCCGGGCACTGGCAAATTAAATGCTGAGAAAATGTGCTAGGTCTCATGACTACCAAGTGGCCTGCAAAGTCTCTGGCTTGGGTGTCACTCCCTTCATCTGTGACCCTCTGGTGGGAATACCCTCAGAACTCCCTTTCCTAACACACATGTACTGAGAAGCAGGAGGTGTAGGGCAGGTAGTATCCCTTAGCCCAAACCCTCATCTTCTGAGGTCCTTGGGCACATGGGTCCATCCATAAGACTCATTTAGGGCAAAGGTCATCTTTTTTTTTCCTAAGATTTTATTTATTTATTTGACAGAGAAATCTTCTACCACAGAGAGAGAGAGAGAGAGAGAGAGAGCACAAGCAGGAGGAGTCTCAAGCAGAGGGAGAAAGAAGCAGGCTCCCTGCAGAGCAGGGAGCCCGATGTGGGGCTCGATCCAGAACTCCGGGATCATGACCCAAGCCAAAGGTACATGCTTAACTAACTGAGCCACCCAGGCATCCCCAAAGGCCATCTTCTGAGGACAAGGACAAATCAGATAGTTGGAATTTTAAAAAATCAGGCCATATGGGAAAATCACGGACTTCTACAGGCCACCTCCACAGCAGTCCAAGGCTATTTATAGGGATGGGGTTGGAGTTCACAGCTGCCTTGGGTGGGGAAACCTGGTTAAAGGGATAGGTCTCTAAGAAGTCAGAAAAAAAGTCAACACATGGGGGGGCATGAGGACACCAGCTCACTGCCATTTAAGTGCTGTGTGACCTTAGGCAGGTAGATCAACTCTTTGGGTCTCAGTTTCCTTAACTGCAAAATGGAACTGCAGTCACATGACTGCTCTGAAGCTTGAATGAAAGTAGAGTGCTTGGCTTTACTGGTTTAGTGGTGGGTCTTGGGTTCAGAGCTCTGCGAGAGCTACGGCAATGGCAGTCAACAGGGGGATGGGACCAGAACACAGGTAGGCCCCGCCTGCTCTGGCTTCCATCTCCTCTACCTCCCCATATGTGACGTTTCCCACCCCTAGACTCTTATCTCTGCTCCCTTCTGCCTACACAAGCTTAGAATGCCAGCTTATATGCCATCTTCTCCATGAAGCCCCCCTGGCTTGGCACTGAATGTCACACATGGGGAGGTTGAGGACATGTCTTTGCTAAATGCCCATGTATTGTGTCTGGAGGTACCACCGTTGAATGCCCTGGGGGCTCTTGTTCCTTCAAAGCTAGTCTTGGAGACATTTCTGGTTCTCATGTCTCAGTTTTGCTCTCAGCCTCCCTACCCCAAATAAAATTGTGATCTCCCTGAAGGTAGAGACCATGTCCTCAGACTTCCCCTGGGGAACTTCCAGTACTGACTTCATAGGGTGGTAGAGGATTGAATGAACTCACACAGAGGAAGCATGTAGGGCAGGCCTTGCACACAGTAAATGCAATGGAAGCATTTGCTCTTTCTATTATTATTATCTGGCCACCCCCACCCCCACAGTCCCAGAGCAGGCTGCAAGGGGCTGGGGCGAGGAAACAAGCGAAGCAGAAACTAGGAAGAGGAGGGCTTTGCTCCTGCTCTCATCCTTCTCCTTCCCTCCCTCACTCCCTTCAACCTGCTTCTCCTTTGTGCTCAGACCACAGAACCCGCCCCCTCACCCCCCTTGAGCCATCTCTGGCTGCCGTGCCCTTGCCCTGTGCCCCCCTGGGTCCCCAAAGGCCGTTTCATCACGCCTCAGCTCCCTGCCCTGCCCCCGCCCAACATGTGCGCAGCCCATGGCCTCCTGCCAAGGCCCCAGGCTGCCCACAGAGGCCCAGAGACAGACATCTCACCGCTCGGTAGGTTTTCTTCTGCCCAGCGTGCTTGGGGGCTTTGCCTGGCTCCGCCGAGCTCTCCACGTGCATCGAGTAGATGATGTCAAAGAAATCTTCCACCACAGCGACCCGCTTCAGAGAGATGCCCTCCGGCTCCGACAGGCCATCTGCCCCCTGCGACAGGGCAGACAAGCTGTGTCAGTGTCGCGGATGGCAGCAGGGTGAGAGCTGGGCCCCGAGGCCTGGCAAAGGGTCGGGGGCAGGGACGGCGCTGCTACCTGACCCGCAAGGCCTCCAGTGGTAGGTCTGGAGGGCTGGGGGTGGAAGGAGCTGGCTGAGACGGACCCAGGGACGGGGGCACCAGAGTCAGGGTGGCTTCTGCTACTAAATCTACCAAAAACAATGGGCAGAGAATGACAACAACGAAAATACAAATTAAAAAACCAAGAGGCTCCATGTTCACAATTTCAGACAGATTGTGCCAGACTCAGGCGGGGAGCTCTCGCATCACATGCTGTGCCAAGACCATCCTGGAAGCCTCTGGGGAGGGGGGGTGCTAAATAGATGCAGCCCCATCAGGAGCTCGCCAATTAGTGGTAACCTTTCACTGTGGTCCTGGGCTGGGGTCCCAGGGGAATGGCTTGGATCACCTGGGTGACTCCTGCCTCCACCCTGGCCTTTCTGAAAAGCTTGTCACCACTGCCCACCCTCCCCACTCCAGCAGCTGAGCGCCAGCAACAGACCCAGGCTCTTTGTGTCTGGAGATACAGAGAATAACAGACACAAGGCCACGTGGAGGTGGCAGGGCCTCATAAGCAAGGTGGCCGTGGACCCCCCGAGTCTCTTTATCAGGCTGGCGTGACTGCTGTCAGCTGGTCCTGAAAAGGCGTGCCGGGACTGAGATGGGTCCTGCTGCTGGGCAGACACCTGCCAACTCCCACTAGCAGGGCTGGGAGGGAGCAGGGAAACTGCAAGGCAGGAGGCTGGGGGATGTGGCCAAAGCCCATAAGGGAGCAGACTGTTCGGTGAGATCTTTATTGATAGGGCACAGGAGACACAAACCCAGGGTAGGTGTGTGTGTGTGTGTGTGTGTGTGTGTGTGTGTGTGTGTGTGTGTGTGTAGGGAGGACTGAGGGGGAAAGGAGGCAGGCTTTTCTCTAAAAGTGTACAAACCCAAATCTCCCAGAGAATTCTTTCCTAAAGGATCTTGCTCATGGCTCAAGAACGTCAGCTCTAGGAGGGAATGGGCCTTGTCTGGTGGCTCACAGCTGCCTCCCTAGAACCTAGAACAATGCCTGATACACAGTAGGCTCAAGAAATGCCTACCAAATGATTGACTGCTTCTAAGTGGCAGCCAGGCAGGGTAATTTAGACATACTCTTCCTCAGTCTGAATGGGGCCCATCATTGAAGTGGCTGTGTGACCAGGAGCAGTTAGTTTCTCTAATCTCAGGTCTTTTACCTGGAAAATAGGGTGAACAGAAGCATTTTTCCTATACGAGCTACAGAGAGGAATAAAGGAGATACCCGTGCAGCACTAAGCAGCAAGCCCAGTCCAGAGGAACTTAGGAATAAATATAATCACGGAGTGCTTTGTTATTTGCAGTTTCCCCTAGCTATGATAAGGCTGAACATTACAACAAGCCTAGGAGGTTGCTAGGGAGAGGACCTGCCTGTGGTATAGTGACTGGTAAGTGGCGGAGCTGGGTTAGGATCTAGTCTTATATAGTCCAAGAAAAAGAGAGGCGGTGCTAAACGGGACCCCTGCTCACAAAACATTCTGGCCATAGACAGGGTTTGGTTTTATCCAGTTACTTTCCCAACATACCGTAACGAGTAAACAGGGCTGCCTTTTTGCCAGCGGCCCACTTGAGAGCAGATAGGCATCTGGAGTGGAGGGTGCCAAATCCTAGAGTGGCATCTGTCGGGGGGGTGACCTCCCTGGCCCTGTACAGACCCTCTTGCCAGTGGCTTCCTTCCTAGGCAGGATCCATTTCAATGGGGACTTCTCAGCATGCATCTGGTGTGTGTGTATGTGTGTGTAGGAGGAGATGCCTGCTGGTCCTGCTTCCTGGCTGTGAGATTGTGGGCAAACTCTTCAGCCTCCCTGAGCTTCACTTATGAGATGAGCTGTAAAATTCCACGACTTTTCTGTTCTTAGACTCGCTCAGGAGTTACTGTTACCTCTTTGCTGGGGGTATCTGAAGTCCTGGGCCATCTATAAACAGGGATCATTAGTGATAAACTTGTTCACTAGCTGACTTGTAACTACCCAACTTTTTAGGGGAACCTTCAAATACTGCTGAGAGTTGGATGGGACAAATATTATGATCGCCCAGTTATACTTCCAACCAGAGGTTCACGCTGGCAAAAACTAACAAAAGGATCGTAAGAATAAAAACGTAACTGGGCTTCTACTTCCTGATCTGGGTGGTGGTTTTACAGATGTGTTCAGTTTATAGAAAGCCATTAATCTGGACACTTCACAATCTCTGTACTCTTCTGCATGTTGTTAAGCTTTAATTAAAAGAAAAGTATATTAGGGTGGCTCAGTCAGTTGAGCGTCCGACTCTTCATTTCAGCTCAGGTCATGGTCTCTGGCTCCTGGGGTTGAGCCCTACTTCGGGCTCTGTGCTTGATGTGGAGTCTGCTTGTCCCTCCATCCCCCACCCTTGCTTTCATGCACACTCTCTCTCTCAGTAAATAAGTAAGGGACACCTGGGTGACTCAACGGTTAAGCATCTACCTTCCGATCAGGGCATGATCCCAGGGTCCAGGATCAAGTCCCACATTGGACTCTCCACAGGGAGCCTGCTTCTCCCTCTGCCTATGTCTCTGCCTTCTCTCTGTGTCTCTCATGAATAAATAAAATCTTTTAAAAAATCAAATAAATAAAATCTTTAAAAAATATATTTTTAAAAGTACAATGGGGGTAGTTCCACAACATTTTGATAATCTGAATCTAGAGGCATAATAATGAATCTAGCTGAATCTAGCTGCTTAAAAGTGGATACATCTCTCTGCTCATAAAACTATTTCAAGCCAGGGATCCCTGGGTGGAGCAGCGGTTTAGTGCCTGCCTTTGGCCCAGGGCGCGATCCTGGAGACCCGGGATTGAATCTCATGTCGGGCTCCCGGTGCAATGGAGCCTGCTTCTCCCTCTGCCTATGTCTCTGCCTCTCTCTCTCTCTCTCTCTCTGTGTGACTATCATAAATAAATAAAAATTAAAAAAAAACTATTTCAAGCCAGAACACAGATACTTCTGGAAAAGGGAGATAAAATTTGGTGGGAAGGAATGGAGAAAGAAAATAATCTGTGAAAGACAATATTTTAGGAAGGTGAAATGGGAAGTGTTCCCTAACCAGCTTGGTAACCTTGGGCAGGTCACTTCTTGAACTTTTTTTTTTTTTTAAGTACTCTCTACCCCCAACGTGGGGCTCGAATTCAAAACCCTGAGATCAAGAGTCGCACGCTCCACCAAATGAGATAGCCAGGTGCCGCACCTGACTTCTTGACCTCTCGAAACTCAGTTTCCTCACCTGTCAAATGGGCCTAAAAAGTTGTGGCTGGTTGTTCTAAGGATTAGGTTAAGAATGTATGTCAGGCATCTGGATTATAAATGTTCATCTCTTCCCTTTGGACTCATTGAATTCGAACATTTTGTTTTTGGAATCTGTTCTTCCATCCTTCTGATCCATTCATGTTACAGCATGGGTCCCCCAAGCTAATACCCACCATCAGAGGACATGCTCAATTCCTAAGTAACACACTAAGACTGTCATACAAACTTGACATAAATTTTCCTAACGTCAAGGTGTAATTAACCAACTCAGATTAAACAGCAAAATATATTGCCCAATGCTGGACCTCTGTCCCAGCCTCCCACCTCTTTCTAAGACAGACACGGGTACCCAAAAGCTTTGCATCTTGTCCAATGTGACTATAAAATTATCCCGGAGAAACTCTTCAGGGATCATTTTTAGTAGCTCCCTCTTTAAAACTCTACTGTGATCTCCCCTGATGTTTAACCCTGGGTCCTAGAATTCGTTTATCTCAGTTGCAGAGATGTACACAGGAGAGGAGAGGGCTTGTCCCAGTCCCAGTTCAAACCACACAAGCTCTGCAGAACCACACCTTGAACTGTCCTCAGGTGAGCTGTGGCCACCTGGACACCATGTGTGCTACACCCTAAGGGAAGAACACCAGGATATCTGTCTGTCCTTCAAGGAGAACCCTGGGAAAAGAACAAAGGGCTCCCACGGCAGTCACGTGCACCAGGCATCTCTGCCATGCCCCTCATCCATAGAGGTAATAACCTTCATGCTAAGTGCTGCAGGAGAGGCATGCCTTCCTTAGCTGAGAATCTAGACACAGTGCTACAAGGCAGGAGCTGCTAATTAAAGGAGGAGAAAGCACCTTCCCCATAGCCTTGGGATGTCCCCACCAACCACTTCTGCTTTGTACCCAAATTAGCTTAATCTCATCCATGGCCCTAAGCAAGCTGGGCCTCCGTTTGATAAAGAAAGCTCATTTCACTTATAGGCTGAATGAAGAGGGGGCCTAGAGCCTCCTATCCCCAGCTTCCTGGGAACACCAACCAGGAGTGATGGAAAGGAACCCTGAAGCACCCCACGGGAAAAGCCATGAGAAATACATGGTCAGTTGCACAGGACCAACCTCTGGGGCCTTCCTGCTTGGGGAAGAATATTGCCATGGCAACACACTACATCCTTTCAAACCAGCCAACTCCAAGCCAGCCAGCTAGACCCAGGCCAATAAAACCAGACATAGCAAGAGTTTTAAAAATTTCATGGAGCTACTATGACTACTGTTCTTGGACATCACCATCTTCCTTTAAACCATCCCGTTTGGATTCTAAACTAAAGGCCAGGTTGCAAGTTATTGAGGAAATCACCAAATGTCTATTTATACATTGCTCATGTTTCACAATATTTAGAAGAGTGATCACAAAATGTGGTCTCTAGACCATTAGAGACAGCCATCACCTGGGAACTAGATGGAAATGCAAATTCTCAGGCCCCACCTCAGACCCACCAAATCTCACTCTCTGGGGGTTTTACTAGGGCCCCCCGATGATTCTGACGCACAACAGATTTTGAGAACTGATTAGAATATCTCCATGACTCAGATAGGGAGGTAACTAGTAAGGAGAC